TCTAGATCTAATTTTTTTATGCAAGTTGTTAATCATATTAAAAGCAGTTAGATAGTTTAACGACGGAGATTGAAGAAACTTAGAAATAGGTGAGCTAATACTAAATATGTCCAGATAAATTGCTTCAGTCATAATCACATCAAACTTAGACCAATTTTGTAATAGAGTGCGAGCAGTGAATTTTGTTTTTGAATCAAATGTAGAGTGATTTGAAATTATTTCTAGCAAAAAATTTAAAAATAATAAAAGTCATGAATTTTTTATGTCAGTTTCATTAAATTTTATAATTGAGCTTAATGCTTTGTCTTTGCTCCACCAACTTGTAGCACCAAAAAATGCAATATTACCTATAACAAAATTATATACTAGACTCCTGAGTAGCGGATTCTCCATCTTCATAACTTGTTCCCGGTTTACACTGTTCAGCTAAAGTACAAATGTTTTGTATGTTGTTTTGACCTAAAGCATCTGTTTCACAAATTCTATCTGTGCTTTGTTTGTTCTATGAAAATTAGAATACAATAGTCAATAATATACTTATTACATTATAGTAATTAATTTTACCTTTGATTCAGAAGAAATGATACCATTAGTAACTTTATTTTCATTTGAAAATGAAACGTTTGAATTATCATTCGTGATTACCTTTGAAAAGATAATTTTTTTTTGTTTTGGGTCAGAACCGGCCTTGAGTAACATTTGTTGTTCTTTTAGGCGCCTTTTTTCCGCACCACTTTTCAATTTGGTATTCATTTTAAACCGTAAGGTAAATAAAAATAACAACAATTTAAATACACTTTATACACTCGTTGAAGGCACTTACAACAGTTACTCGTATTTAAGTATTTTAACACCTTTATTAAGCTCCGGTGCGTTGATACGAACAACTCGTGACTCGGAGCAAACTGTGAATAACTAGTTGACACCGGCCTGCGTAGCAGTCCCGTATGGCGTATTTATATTGGTATATATTTAACGAGTAGGTCCGAGTGCATAGACGAAACTTAATTTTCAAAATATTAAGACATGTTTAAATACAGTTACTAAAAATGGTAATCTTATTTTAATTTAATTTTATATTTATGAACATGAAGTTTGGGGGCCCAAACTAGCTGGGGGCCAGTCCGCGATCGCGGACCTGCGGTCCGGGCCAGTCCGACCCTGATAATGATTCTATCAAACAACTTGCCAGACAAACTTTTATTAAAAAAATAAAAAAAAAATAATTTGTTGTATGTTTTATCATTCTTTGTTTATTTTATTATCTTATTATATTATATTAAATTATATTGTATTCAATTATATTATATTAGTTCTTTTTTCTATGATTATATTGTAATCTAATTATTTATATTGTATACATCTGTATAAACATCTAATTAGTGGTTTACTAATAAAAAAAGTTAAAATCATCTACCGAGTTGTAATTAAATAATTTATTACTTTAATGTTTAAAAAATATCCTAGGTTAAAATCGATATCAATATAATATTGAAATCGATGTCAATATAATATCGAAATCGATTATCAAAAGAATCGATTATTAGTTCATGAGACTTTCAGCTGAGCGCTAGTATCGACTTTGAAATGCGCTCATGCTGATAACGAACGAGTCATCATTTGTAAGGTAACAGAATTTTGACCCTCTTATAATATTGTCCCCATGTCATTTAATATAATTTTATTTCTTTTTTTGATATCAATCCACCCGCGCGCAGCTGATACAGTGAATCGACCGATATTATATAACCACCTGTCCCCCGATCCCCACCATCTGCAGTGTCCCGTCGTTGACGTTCGTCGCTGGCTGTCGGTCGCCGCCGCTGGGCGCGTCCGTCGTGTCCATCGGTGTGCGTCGGCAGAGCAGTCTGTACTGAAATTCCCTCAAATTATTGTAAATTCCCCTCAATCACCCACACTGCTCTACCCCACCTCATACCGTTTTCAACAACGACGACCGTTGCGGCCCATGGCCCGCTGCGATGAACCAACACAAAAAATTCTTCTGCCACTGACCTCTGAATAAGCAAGACGTTTTGCTTTTAATTCACGTCCGCAACATCTCTATCCTGCGCTCCGACATCAACCAAAAAAAAAAAAACTGCGTTCAACAGATTTTTGGTTTTCACAATATTTCCATCGACGTCCAATCAACATGATGGGCTAACCGATACCCGTCGGGCTGTGGTGGCCATATCAACCATGCTGCGGAATATATTTGTTCTTTCATTCATCATGTGAGTGGCTGTCTTCGACGACCAGGTGGGCCATGCCGGCCGCGTGTGTGCCGGTGGCGTTCGCCAGCCCACCCCTCATCATCGAAGACCAACACTTCATCTCAACATCAACACTGCCGCTACTACTGTGTCGTAACTATGATATTTCCCCACACCATCCCCCGTTAGTTTCCCTCCGGATTATAATTTTTACTGTTTGTGTGACACCACTAAAATAACGTGCTTAGACGGCACAGGCCGGCCACAGATCGCCTTGCTCTGGCGCTGACCGTGCCCGGTGATTTTAATTAAAATGTAAAAGCGTCTATATGACGTTATTAACGTATCTCCACCTATTTCCCTCTTTAATTTGTATTTGCCCTGGGCCACCATATACCTCTTGTATGTGATGTGCGCCACCTTATTGTATCTTTATTTTTTCTTGTATTTGCCATGTGCCATGTTATAGTAGTTATACTTTTATTAACTTATATCTTACCTTTGTGTACAATACACCCGTGTAATTACCCTGAAAATCTCTGTTATTATTTATTTATTAGGTCAACTTATTTCCCCCCATAAATCTTGGGCTTTCATTAGCCCATGCGTGTATAAAACCTGTGAGTTCCACCGACTTGACCCTCGGGTCTCACGCGGTGCGGCTCACAGGTCACGATCGGAGTGTTCCCCTTCGGTCGTGGGTAGTTTTTGTGTCGTCAAAAAACACAAATCCTTACATATGGCGACCGTGACAGGACGCGACCTAATATTCCCCTTTTTACTAATACATTTTTTTTTTTTTCTCTCTCTCATTCTCTCTCTTTCTCCCGTCAAAAAAAAAAAAAATTAATCTCTATAAGGCAAATGGCAAAATTCTAAAATGTAAAACTTAATAAACTATTCTGGCAAACACATGGCAAATTTCATCCAATTTAATCTCCTAACCTATTAGTCCCCTGTAATAATTAAATAATTCAAATCAGTTTTCTTATATTCCCTCTAATGCTTATTCCACAAACCCCCAAATTTTTTTTAAACACATGTCTCCATTTCTGATTACTCTCTTACAAGAGGACAACTTAATTTTCTTCTATTATATTTACCCTTGGTAGAAAAAAAAAAATACACTGTAAAACTTATTATATTATGCAGAATGATGCACCACCTACCAAGGTAAACAATTATATTATTATTCCTTTTTGTTCCCCCCCCTTGTATACATTTGTAAACCCATAATATATTTCAGAAATTGTTCCTGCCGGTGTATGCATCGTGGAGGCGGTGGAGGTGTTTTTCGGTGGCGACTCGGCGGATGGCTGCGGCGTCGGAGACCCGGACACTGCAAACGACCCGTCTTTTCCCTTTTTGGTATGCATTATTATATTTTCCCCTTGTTTTTCCCCCCCTTGTTAGATTTCCCTAGACCCGTATCTCCACCATAGTATAACATTGGTAGTTTCATTTTTATCTTGCTGCGATAATATTTTTTTCCAGACCACATGGTCTAAATATTATGTTAAAATGTAGATCTGCGGATCCCCTTATTATATTATATTACATTATGAAATATTTTGTTATTAAAACTGTAAGTTCGCTATGAACATTTAATTATATTTTCCCCTTGGTAGAGAGCACATTTTTATTATTTAATGCTGAACGCAAAAAAAAAAAAAACCTTAGAATTAAATCTTATTTTAAAAAATCCACTGTAAGAACAATTTATAATTATCATTACCCTGCAAAAAAAAAAAAAAAAAAAAAAACGAAATTCTTTTTCATTAGTACCATTTAAATATTTAACATTTCCGTCTCTTGCAAGAATACATTTATAAATATCATTTTCCCAGTAATCAATTCCCAATGTCAAATTAATTAAAAAAAAAAAAAAAAAAAAAAAAAAAAAACTATATACATGAAATACTTTGTATTCCCAACAGGGAAGGTATCATTTCTCCCTTTACCTTTATTCGTTACGACTGGTAGTTTGAGCTATAGAAAGAAAATAATTTCCCGGCATGTCTTGGTCCACCTACGGCCCATTATTATATGATTATATATATATTAAACAATATTAACATTTTTCTGATACTTTGATCAACACATATGATTCTATTCTGATTATGCAATAATTTTTGTCTGTGGACACTTCATTTCCTAGTTAATTAGATTACCTGTAAAAAAAAAAAAATTTTTTTTTAGGATCACTACTCCCTATTAAAAGTCAACTTAGTGACTTACCCTAGACTAGTGATAACTTATCATATCCTTCATTGTAAATTACATTATTTTATATATACTGTAGGTTTTCCTTCTAAACTTTAATTTTGTTATTCTGAATATAAAATTTGACCTGCTGTATCGTATGGTACTACTATAGTACTTGGACCAGTTTGTTTTTTTTATTTATTGTTCAGAATATCATACAATGTTATTATAATTATTTTATTTTGACCCTTTCTAATATCCATCTCTTGGTAATTTTTTTTTAAAAATAATTTGTACTTATTATATATTTTTTTTCTGTATTTAATCCTCTCTGTCCTCAGAGTTAAACGAATTGCCATAATCATTTTTGTCGATTACCTATTTTTTCTTTTTTTTCTCTTTTGACTCCCTTGGAGAGCAATATTTTGTTTTGGTTATAATATACTATTAATTTTTATTATTGTCTTAAGACATATATTTCCATTTCAATATAAACATTGTAGTTGCCCTGCCTACTGTGCTAACCGAGGTTGGTAACTAGTTCTCTTGTGTTTATTCTTTTTATGTGCATGCTGGCTAATGCATAGTGCAGGTAAACGCATCACACGACCACCCCTGAGGTACAACCCTTCTCTTCAATACCCCTCTCCCATACTACCTGCAACTGATTTTGATTTGACAATGGCTGGACTTGAGGATGAACAGCAATCCCCCCCAATAGACTCTCCCCTCTCTCTAGAGTCCCTAGCTCAACTTGTCGGTAACATGAACGATGCTTTTAACGCCCAGATGGAAACTATTTCCCGTAAATTCAGTGAACTAGATACCCGCATGGACGAACTCTGCACCCGCATAGATGATAATGACTCGGACGTTCGTGTTAAATTCAATCAGTTTCAATCCTCTTTCAATAAAGACCTCATTACCATGCAGAACGATATCTCTATAGAGCAACAACGGTCCCAGGAGTCCCATAAAAGCATTACCACTACCCAACGATCATTCAATGACACCATCAAAGCACTAAGCGACCGCGTAAGCCTCACAGAGGGACAAAGTGCCCGACTAGCCGCTCTAGAAAATAAATTTCAATACTCCATTACCAATTCACTACCCCCACGGTTTCTACTAATTCACAGCCCGTACATCATAATTCATTTAATAATTGTTTAACTTCTACTACCGTTGCTAACCCGTGTCAAACTCAAGCTACTGCCCCACTCAATATTTCTAGTTTTTCTGTCCCCAAATATAATAGCTCACTCCCCAGTAGCATCACCTCTGTTCAAGAAAACGTAACCTTATCCAATACTTCTGGCATAGTACTCGATTATACAAAGCTCACCCAATATGATGGTAAATTAACACCGGTACACCCAGAGGAGTTCCTTGAACAGGCCGAACAATATTTTTTAACCCACACTCCCCTACCTGACCAAGTAAAGATTAAATATATTAAAGAACGTTTTATTGGTGATGCTCGCTTATGGTATAACACCTTATTACCCTCTCCCTCAATATATCAGGATTTCTTATCACTATTCAGGGGCCATTTTTGGTCTAATAATCAGCAACGGGCAATTCGCAATGAACTATATAGACCCTATTTTCACCGAGACAATTCTTCCCTTCAAAAACATGCCATGGACTGGATCAACCGTGCCCGCTTCCTAAGACCCCCAATAGACCAACCAGAGATGGTCGACCAACTCATTTCTCATTTCTCTTTCAATATATCCGTAGCTCTCCGCGGTCTCAGAATCACTACCACCAATGAACTAATACAGCAACTCTCTCATCTTCAACAATCTCACTCCTCTTCAACTCAAACCAATAATCAATCAAACCCTCCCTCTCAAAATCAAAATCAACATTCATATAACCATTCTTCAGGCCACAATCATCAAAACAGAAACCACTCTCAAAATCAAAATCAGAACTCAAATTTTAACAGTAATCAAAACCGATATATCCCCCGTAATAGTAATTATCCCCGCCCTCAGTACAATCAAACTAATCCGACACAGTCCGCCCCTGAACCCAGTACCTCTCCCCTGGGAAACTAGTTCCGACCAGTCCTGTGAGGATGTGTACTGTGTCTCGCCCGCAAAGTCCTCAAATTTCAACACTCACACACCCGTTAAACCGAGACCATGAATCAACTCCTCCCCCCAACTATCGTCCAGAAATCACTGTCAAAATTTTTAATAATAAACAAACCGCTCTGCTCGACTCAGGTGCTTCAGTATCAGCTATCTCAGAACATTTTTTCCAAAGCTTAACCACTGACCCCTCTCAAGATCAAATTCCTATTTTTCCTCTTTCAGGCATATTACTCACTACAGCTCTTAGCAATAAAACCGTCAAAATTAAGTCTCAAATTTATTTAACATTTACAATCAATCAATATGAAACCCATGGTATCTTTCTAGTCGTTCCCTTGCTCTCTACCCCTCTCATTCTTGGGACAGACTGGCTGTTGGAAAATGAGGTGACCATAGACTATAAGAAAAAAATAATTTCCCTCTCTACTACTAATGATGAAATACCTTTTAAACTAATTGCGGACCACGACCCCAGTAGCCTTGTAAACTCACTCAATAGTCTAAATTTAAATGATCACCACCTTAATATGTATGAACCCCTTTCCAGTTTAAAACAGCCACCTCTCCCGTTTGAAAATGAAAAAAATATTGCCCTTAATGATATCCCACTTAATGAATCTCAACAAAATTTAATGTTTTCCCTTCTTCAACAAAATCAACAAATTTTTCAAGATAAACCTGGCCTTCACAAATTTTTCTCTTATAAATTCAACATTAGACCACATGAACCTTACAAAATTAGACCATACCCTGTCCCCTTCTCCCGTCGTCCCGCGGTAGAAAGGGAGATCAACAAGATGCTTCAATGGGGGGTTATTGAGAGATCAGACTCTGCCTATAGTAACCCACTAGTAACAGTTGCTAAAGCCGACGGCTCTATTCGCTTGTGCTTAGACGCCTGAAAGTTAAACACTATTATCTTACCCACACGAGACGACCAACCCCCAAAGGATACCCCTATAATATTACATTACACTCTACCACCTCCAATACCTCCAGATATCATTCCTTTTTTCAACAACATTTCTCAAGAACAAATTAAAGATCCCCGCATACAAAAAATCATTTCTACAATTAAACGGGATTCTTCAACATCTTGGCTACAATATTACACCTTACAAAATCAAGTTTTATTCACCCGCAAATATAAAAAAGCACAAAATTGGTCCCTTTATATCCCTGATCATCTGGTCAAACAAATTGTGTTACTCTTTCATGAGTATTATGCCCACATCGGTCCCCGCAAAACAGCCCAAGCTATTCGAAATATCTGTTATTTCCCCTCTCTCAGTAGGACGGTCCGCCACGTAGTACAGGAGTGTGATTTGTGTCAAAGGTGTAAACCTAAGACCATTCGCACCGCCGGTCCTATGCAGCCGATACTCTCGACCAAACCACTCGATAAGGTACTAGTTGATTTTTACGGTCCCCTTCCCACTGGAATGTTTCAATTTGCATATATTTTCGTTGTCATGGATAACTTCACTCGATTTGTCCGATTGTATCCCCTCCGAAAGGCCAATGCCAAAATTTGTATTAAAAAGTTAACTACCAATTACTTCCCTACCTATGGTGTTCCTAAAAATATTGTTTCTGATCACGGTAGGCAGTTCATCAGCCAACATTGGCAGACCACTTTGAAGAAGTACAAAATTCAAGTTACTCACACTAGTATTTACCATCCCCAGTCCAATCCTGCGGAAAGAGTAATGAGAGAGTTGGGCCGTATGTTTAGGACCTATTGTCATTTCAAGCACTCTAACTGGCCCCAATATGTTCCATATATTGAGTGGACCTTAAACAACGTCTATCACGAGTCCACTGCCCACACTCCCTCAGAACTTTTCCTCAGAGATACCCCACACAACCCCCTTTCACAATTTATACACTTTCCTAATAATGATTTTCCTCCAAATTATAAACATAAATTAACACTAGCCCATGAAATACAGTTAACAAAATCCGAAGACCGTAAGAAACGTCATGATAAAACAATTAATGCTCCCCTTTTCAAAATTAACGATCTCGTCCTTGTAAAAACACACCGTTTAAGTAGTCAAATTGATAAAAAAATCTCCAAATTTTTCCTTCTGTATGATGGTCCCTATAAAATTAAAAGTATCAAGACTGTAAATGCTTATAAATTAGTTGGTCCGGATGATGATACCCCACGAGGTACCCATAATGTTGTTCACCTAAAGCCGTACAAACCATCCACCATGGCAACACTACTCTAAGGGGAAGTAGCTCATGGAGTATATGAATATTTATGTAAGATTCAAATAACAACTTATGACATTGGTTTTAAAGAATAGGATTCTAGGTCATCCCTGCTTAAATGGGGGGTCAAACCTGGTGTGTCCTGCTTAATACGGGACCACTACTGGGTATGAGCCTCGCTCCACGTTTATGCGTGGCACCAAAAATGTTGGGAACATAAAGCTCTCGTAGGCCCGGGTCATTTAATTCGTTTACTTCCGCGTTGTCCCCCCCCCCCCTTTTTCCCCTTACTACCCCGCCTTTTTTTCTTTCTCTCAATATTTTTTCTTTCAGATTCGTTGTCCCCCCAGCTCGGTAGGGCCCCCGTCGTACAGGGAGTACTGATACTACTCTCTGTCCGGCAAAGAGTCTGAGACACTCTTCTTTTAATTTAACCGGTGTTGTGGTGACACCCCGTCCCAGTGAGGGTCCGGGTTTGGTCGGCCGAGTGTGGTTGCCATTGGGGCCTAGCGGGTAACCTCCTGCGCGTTCACATACGGCTGGCGTAAAAAACCAGCTGTCCCTGTGCGCGTTTCAGTAGGGGGCCCCGGACCACACTTACCACCACTGACCCGCGGCTCGATGATCTGGAGGGTGACTCCCCAAAGGGGAGTAAAGGAGCCACCAGACCCCGCCTCTTGACCGCTTTTTAACCACAACATGCAGGAACATTCTCGTTAGCCCCCCTCAATAATGTTAGGTCCCACCATGGCTTGCCATGTGTGTAAAAAATTTAAATCCAGAGTAACCTACACAGTGCAAGGTCCTTGTTACCTTGTCTGTACACAATAGTTTTTTTTTTATTTTTTTTGTCTTGTCCCTTCTACACTAAGTCCCCGGTGTAGTCGTAGCCTGTATAGTCGTGACCCCAGTAAAGGCATAGACTATACTTGAGTCCCGTTTCCCCTATATTTTTTTTTTCCTGTTAGGTTTTTCTTGGGATGTAACCTAGATGGATAGTCTTTGGTGTCACCATCCCTGGCTAGGCTAAACGTATTATAAGTGATAGGTTTATTTTCTCTTAAGTATATAGTGAGGTATACACTCCCATGTAGGATTTTGTTATATTATACACTGATAGTGTTCCTTTTTAATTATATTATATACCACAAAACTTAAACAAAATCTCAGTCTGTAAAGCAATAATTTTTTTTCTGTATTCTTTTTTAAACTTCCCCAAATATTATCTTTTCAATTAATTCAAAATTTTATTTTTTTTTTCTTTCTTTCTCTCTTCTGGTTATAAACCCAACTTTATTCGTAATTAAATTAGTGTTCATTATTATAAGCTCTGTCCCTGTTTAAATTTATTATGCTCTTTCTTATGTCTATGGTCATCTCAAAATTCAGTACCCTATTTTCTACAACAAGTGGTTCTCAGTTCTGACTTTGGGTAACAACTTCAACAACTTGTTGGGGGGGTTATGTAAGGTAACAGAATTTTGACCCTCTTATAATATTGTCCCCATGTCATTTAATATAATTTTATTTCTTTTTTTGATATCAATCCACCCGCGCGCAGCTGATACAGTGAATCGACCGATATTATATAACCACCTGTCCCCCGATCCCCACCATCTGCAGTGTCCCGTCGTTGACGTTCGTCGCTGGCTGTCGGTCGCCGCCGCTGGGCGCGTCCGTCGTGTCCATCGGTGTGCGTCGGCAGAGCAGTCTGTACTGAAATTCCCTCAAATTATTGTAAATTCCCCTCAATCACCCACACTGCTCTACCCCACCTCATACCGTTTTCAACAACGACGACCGTTGCGGCCCATGGCCCGCTGCGATGAACCAACACAAAAAATTCTTCTGCCACTGACCTCTGAATAAGCAAGACGTTTTGCTTTTAATTCACGTCCGCAACATCTCTATCCTGCGCTCCGACATCAACCAAAAAAAAAAAACTGCGTTCAACAGATTTTTGGTTTTCACAATATTTCCATCGACGTCCAATCAACATGATGGGCTAACCGATACCCGTCGGGCTGTGGTGGCCATATCAACCATGCTGCGGAATATATTTGTTCTTTCATTCATCATGTGAGTGGCTGTCTTCGACGACCAGGTGGGCCATGCCGGCCGCGTGTGTGCCGGTGGCGTTCGCCAGCCCACCCCTCATCATCGAAGACCAACACTTCATCTCAACATCAACACTGCCGCTACTACTGTGTCGTAACTATGATATTTCCCCACACCATCCCCCGTTAGTTTCCCTCCGGATTATAATTTTTACTGTTTGTGTGACACCACTAAAATAACGTGCTTAGACGGCACAGGCCGGCCACAGATCGCCTTGCTCTGGCGCTGACCGTGCCCGGTGATTTTAATTAAAATGTAAAAGCGTCTATATGACGTTATTAACGTATCTCCACCTATTTCCCTCTTTAATTTGTATTTGCCCTGGGCCACCATATACCTCTTGTATGTGATGTGCGCCACCTTATTGTATCTTTATTTTTTCTTGTATTTGCCATGTGCCATGTTATAGTAGTTATACTTTTATTAACTTATATCTTACCTTTGTGTACAATACACCCGTGTAATTACCCTGAAAATCTCTGTTATTATTTATTTATTAGGTCAACTTATTTCCCCCCATAAATCTTGGGCTTTCATTAGCCCATGCGTGTATAAAACCTGTGAGTTCCACCGACTTGACCCTCGGGTCTCACGCGGTGCGGCTCACAGGTCACGATCGGAGTGTTCCCCTTCGGTCGTGGGTAGTTTTTGTGTCGTCAAAAACACAAATCCTTACACATTCTATTAGTTTCTTTTTCTATGGTGAATATGCAGCGCTACACATTCTCCCACTAGTTTCAATCCGACCAAGAACACATTTAAATCAAACGCCTTAACCACTGAGCTACAACACTTGGGCATGTATAATGATTATTTAAACACTATTTAAATAATTCGATAAAAAAACATCATAATATAAATTATACATATACAGGGTGATCCATTTAAGTGGGTACACTAATTATCTCGAAAAGTATTAACTTTTTTTTATTTTTTATTTTTTTAAACTGTTAGATTAATGCTTTTCTAAAACTCTATACTATTTTAATTTTTTTCACCTTTATATTTATTGGTGAAACCACTATCAACTTTTGATTTTCAAATGGTAACATATAATAAAAAAATCATGAATTAATAAAACCATTTTTTTTTATGAATTTACGCGTTAACATTTTTATTTTTCGATGATTCGTTTGCGAGATACAGCTCCTCAAAGTATTGGTGGTTGAAAGTCGGTACCGCTGAAAATTTTCATTTGTAAAGCCCAGAAGCTATAACTGATAAATTCGATACCGTTCGTCCTAACTACCTACGGTACCTAACATTAAACATATTGATAATTGTTGTACTTTGAACCTGATTAATTGAATGTACATTACACCTATATGGATATATGCTAATTTGACCAATGCTACGTTTTGTTGACATTGGCTGTAGCACCACATCCCATCCATATTACCATAGAACAATAATAATCTTATTACTATTACTATTACCGATATTTGGCGATACCTTTATCATTATCTATGACCACGGTCTTATAAGATAATAGAATTGATTAAAATATTATATCATATTAATTAATTAATGATAATGGTACAGAAAAATCAATCGGTTGTAATAAACTGAATACTGATAATGAACTTTAAAACTCGTAAAGTAAAATACTAAACCATGTGGCCATGCAGCATAGCACTATTACTTAAATAGTTTAATATTAAATGTAGAATGTAATTAATAATTGAACTATACATATGTATAGTTAGTTTATGTTGTAAACCGTTATAAGTAGACAGACAGTTTAAATTTCTTTAATAGCATAATATACCTAACAAAATAGGTAGTTGTTGAATCATTAAGTTTGTCAAAAATATTCCATTGAACTTAAAATTACATTATACCTAAGTCGTAATTTGGGATATATTTATGTATTTTATTTGATATTTCAATCAAAAATATATGTATTTAAGTTTATATTATAAAGTGTTATGTAAACTTGATAATACATGAATACTAACCACATGTCTGTGAAGATAGCTCCTTCCTAGTTAGCTCCTATACCACTGATAAGAAAATGGTTGATACCAGCTATATTAAGTTGCATTTACTACATTTATTAGGGGCAACTAAAATTTAATTTAATTTTAATTATAAGCAAGACAAGAAAAGGACAGTTATCAATTTATTACAATCTGTATATTATATCCCACCAAAAACATATATGTAAAATGAGAGCCAAGTTCAATACTATAATATATGCCTTGGTTGTTGACTTCAACGACAAAAGAAGTGAGATCTAAATGGGTGCCAAGTTAGGATAATATATTGAAGCCTAAGGTGTGACTTGGCTACTTTTCATATACGAATTATTATTATAAGTACCTACTAAAACAGTAATGGAAGAGTGAAGATGATTTTCCGATGAATAAAATAAGAACTCAAAGCTTTAGAACTTGCAAATGCTATAATATATAATTCATAGCCAAGTCAGACCTATAGGCTTCAATATATTATCCTAACTTGGCACCCATTTAGATCTCACTTCTTTTGTCGTTGAAGTCAACAACCAAGGCATATATTATAGTATTGAACTTGGCTCTCATTTTACATATATGTTTTTGGTGGGATATCATTACTTTTTGTATGTAAATTATTATAACCTAACCTAACCTAGCCATGACGTATTCTATAAATAAAGTTTATTACTATATAATATAATTCAGTTACTAATATTAATAATAATATTTATTATAAAATATTTTCCGTTGTATATACAGAGTATAAAATATATGTAAAATTAAATTAATATACAATTATTTTAACTCTTTTTGAGTATATTTTTAATTATCATAATTTTATTGACTGTAGTTTCTACTGTTGGGTGGATAATTCATAATTTGTAAGAATAATTATTTAATTATTTTAATTGTAATATTTAAAAAAAATAATATTAATTACA